AGAGTAGTATCCGAAAATTTTACAGTCAGGTTTTAAATTGTTCCGTGAAAAAATGTGTTTATTGGTGTCCGTAACAAAAGATGGATAATAATGTCACCGGAAAAACACCAACATTTTTTTACTGGTGATAGAAAGAAAAATATGGTTTTTAGCGGGATAAGCAGCAAATTTGTTACGAATTTTTATATGTTTCATGTAAATTTAAACCGATATAAAAATTTTTATGGGATGTTGAACACTATTTAACAAAGGTCTAAAACAGATATACAAAGAGAAGCGATATCAAACCTAGGGTTATTAACATGATCCAATTCAAATATACTATTAAATGTATATTTATAATACATAATCATATAGACAAAAAAAATTAATTAATTTACAGCACAGCAAGTGAAAAAGAACAATCATCGAAAGCTACAAATATCAATATAATATAGTATACACCCACACAAAGAGTAAAATCTTTTAAGGCGCCTACTAATATAGCTCTCGTAGTGGAGATCTTGCACAAAAAATCCTCTTGGTTTGGAAAGCTATCGGCTTATTTCAAGGGTGGGATTTGCAACCCTTTAGAATAGAAATCCTAGAAATTGAATCATCCGATAGCATTCTTCAAAACAAAATTGGAATGTATTCGAAGGTGAACAACCTGTTCCCAGTCAAGAGATGGGAGGGTATGGCAGAGTATTATACATTTAATTGGTGACCCCAGTATCAAACCAAAAGTTGGGAGGGAGTGCCATGGCTTGCGGTGAACACAAAACTAGGTTAACACGCAAGCCGTAACCGTGAATATCACGCCATCCTGTTATTGTAACTGTATGTACAACAAGTATCTAGGTGAGAATTTTTCTGAATTTTCTTCCAGGGATAGAAATTATATTCCGTTGTGTGTACACCGAGGTTCCCTACCACGCGAATGGCATACGACTTTTTTTTAAATTGAAAATTTATTTTTCAAAACTGTTTTTTTTTTTACAAGACTTTCTTCGGAAGACGAGTTCAGACGCATTAAAAAGTAGAACATAATTGTATTTACATTTCTAAAAATGTCTTTACGCAAATAAAGTGTGTACAGACACATTGTAAGAAAACCTTATTACAGACGGGTGGTACGGCAAAATTATGCAGACGGATGGCAAGGCAATCTCATACAGACGGATGGTAAGGCCAACTTATACGGAAGAAATTTTAAGAAAATATTTTTCAACTTTAAAATTAAAAAAAAAAAAAGTTTGCAAGCAAACCCCCCCCACCATTTCCCCCCTCCCCGTAGAGTACCCTCGCTCTTTAATCAGATATAAAACTTGAAAGTTTAATTTGATGATTGCCAGCCGTCCATTGGTCAGAATGTAATCGCCGAATTGCCTCACCTTAATATCTCCCCCCATCCCAAAATCCTACAGCTGATAGACTGATGTTTATTGTAAGCTAAGGGTTAGGGTTGTGTGTTTTTTCAATCACCTTTATTTCCCAAATCACTCACCACCCCCACATCCCATCCCACCTTTCGCCCCGGCATACCGGAGATGTAACTATGCGTCATCAACTCAGACGCGACCTTCCAGGTCAGCACGAGCAAGACTGGATCGACGCAACGAATTTTAATGGTCACAAATGAAACGCACAAGTTATGTTCCAAACTGACCGAACCCCATGAATTAGCGAGTATAAACATGATCTCTAAAAAATATTTTAAAAACAAATTAAGACTTTGTGTCAAAGACGTTTTTAAACGCAATACAAATTTTAAAAATTATTTAAAATTACTTAAAATGCATAACGCATATAAAGACTGAGCAGTAGTGTGGATAAGCCTTCAGAGTAGCCAAAGGATTCGAAGTGAATATAGAAGAAAAGTACATTTTATTAATTTTTAAACAATCATTTCTGCACAGACTTTATTTGCTAATGCAATAAAAAAAAATAATAATTTTCTAATTTTAGTGCTATTCATCTTGTCTTTGAAATAAAGTCCATTTTTTTCTTTTAAGTTTTAAAAATAATTTTTACAAGACTACCGGCACAAGACTAAAGGCACAAGACTACCGGCACAAGACTACCGGCACAAGACTAAAGGCACAAGACTAAAGGCACAAGACTACCGGCACAAGACTACCGGCACAAGACTACCGGCACAAGACTACCGGCACAAGACCACCGGCACAAGACCACCGGCACACGACCACCGGCACATTACTAGCGAGAGAACTCTCTGCTCATAATATTCCACGCACAAAAGAAAACATCCCTTCCTAATAGGTGACACAAGACAAGAAGTTGACGTTGGTTGGAGGGGGCGGACGATCAACTAAACTATAGTCACATGTGTCAACAAAAAAATCACGCTCGACAAAGCAGGTGGAAATGCGATTAGGTAGGACGTCTTTAAAAACAATAATAAGATAGGGGAACCGGTGTTTTAGATAATGGGTGTTCAGAAAATCAACGCTCCACAGTATATTATTCTAGATGCAGCCATGGACATGCCAAAGGGTTCGTATGGACTAAAAACAATAAATGGCATGGAGCATTCATTTGCAAAGATTCAAAAAATTATCTGGTATATGAAAGCCATGACAAATGTTGATGTTGGTGGAATGATCAACACGTTATAGACACCCCAGTATCCGCCTCTGCTGGTCTGTAAAACATCACATGTGGTGTCGGTGAGTGTTACAGAAACCCCCGTATCTGCCTTTGCTAGTCTGTAAAACATCACGTGTGGTGATGGTGAGTGTTACAGAAACCCCCGCATCTGCCTTTGCTAGTCTGTAAAACATCACATGTGGTGTCAGTGAGTGTTACAGAAACCCCCGAATCTGCCTTTGCTAGCGTGTAAGACATCACGTTCACTACAACCGCACGTTGCGACGCCATGTCAGTGTACAACTTCAAGTGGACCCTGGACTTCAATGAAAGGCGTGGTGAAGGGACGAGGTGCGTGCTAGAAGGGGATGGGGTTATAGACAAGGAGTGTGAGTGTAGAGAAGATGGGTGCTTGACAGAGATGTGGTGGGAGTTTACAGAACGATTGGGATTTTGTAAAACAGGTGGTGTGTCGAGAGGGATATGTAGGTGTGAAGAGGGATATGTGTGTTTAAAGAAGGATATGTAGGTGTGAAAAAGGTTATTGATATGGTTGTTTGATGGTGTAGAATAAATTAAAAATGTTGAGAAGGAGGTGTGGCCATTGAGGAGGAGATCTGGGCATTGTAGAAGAGGTGTGGGCATTGTGGAGGAGGTGTGGGCATTGTGGAGGAGATGTGGGCATTGTGAAAGAGGTGTGGGCATTGTGAAGGAGATGTGGGCATTGTGGAAGAGGTGTGAGCATTGTGGAGGAGGTGTGGGCATTGTGGAGGAGGTGTGGGCATTGAGAATTATGTGTGGGCATTGAGGAGGAGATGTGGGCATTGTGGAAGAGGTGTGAGCATTGTGGAGCAGGTGTTGGTATTGTGGAGGAGATGTGGGCATTGTGGAAGAGGTGTGATCATTGTGGAGGAGGTGTGGGCATTGTGGAGGAGGTGTGGGCATTGTGAAGGAGGTGTGGGCATGGTGGAGGAGGTGTGGGCATTGTGGAGGAGGTGTGGGCATTGTGGAGGAGATGTGGGAAATTTGGAGGTGATGTGAGCATTGAGGAGGAGGTGTGGGCATTGTGGAGGAGGTGTGGGCATTCTGGAGGGGGTGTGGGCATTGTGGAGGTGGTGTATGTGGGCAGTGTGGAGGAGGTGTGGGCATTGTGGAGGAGATGTGGGTATTGTGGAGGGGGTGTGGGCATTGAGGAGGAGGTGTGGGCATTGTGGATGAGGTGTGGGCATTGTGGAGGAGGTGTGGGCATTGTGGAGGAGGTGTGGGCATTGTGGAGGAGGTGTGAGCATTGTGGAGCAGGTTTGGGCATTGTGGAGGAGGTGTGGGCATTGAGATTTAGGTGCGGGCTTGTGGAAGAGTTGTGGTTATTGTCGAGGAGGTGTGGGCATTGAGAAGGAGGCTTTTGGTGTTGAGCAGGGTGTAGAGTGTGAGTTAAAGTAAAAATAATTAAATAATATTTAATTTGATTTAATTTTTTTTAATTATTGGAATAAATAGCTAGCTATACCCTATACCAGGCCTGCACAACTCAAAATGTAAGGCGGGCCGTAATACTTTATGATGACCTTGTGCGGGCAAAAAGAAAAAGGACAGGTCTTGTGCGGGCCAAAGAAAATAGGACAGGGGGAAAGCTATTAAGAAAATAATAAGAATAAAGACTATTTGGTTACTTCGTGGGCCTCAAAGTGTGTGCTGGTGGGCCGCATGTGGCCCGCGGGCCGTATGTTGTGCAGGCCTGCCCTGTACGAAAAGAGCCATCCAAATTACCTTTTTTTGAAGATGTTTACAATGTGGTGTGAATGTGAAGATGGGATGGGATGCTAAGAATGAGCTGATTTCCCAAAACACGTGGTAGCGTTTGGCTAGGACTACTGCTCTAGACGTATGGCCACATATCACCCGTTGAATGAATCGGATGACCACCTCTGTCCACGGTAACCTAAATGTGACATCACATGATGTGCTTCTCCTCACCATCCTTGTCTCTGACTCACAACTACTTCATTATTGTTTACAACATAAACAGATAACTAACAGTTGGCCTGTGGACTTCTAAACAGATGCAGTATATTCGTGTTATGGACTTGAGTTAACGACTACAAAATCGACTCTAGGATAACTGCACATCAACTCTTAGTCTAGAATAATCGATCCCACGATTATTCAAAAATAATTTGAAAAAAAAATAAAAAAAAAAAAAAAAAAAAAAAAAAAAAAAAAAAAGTAATATTATAATCATATTATTAAATTACTTCGGTGTCCAAGAAATGATTAATGTAAGAACGCACGAATGCTACATCCACACAGCCAGTCCGAACCTATGGTGTGACCTGAAGGAATACTTGAGCGTCCTCAAGTAGAGGAAACGGATATTCAGATAATGTGGGTTTTTTTCTGTCCCAGAGTGTGTTACTCGAGTTAGCGACAGCTAGGTCCGGAAAGCATGTTGAAAACAATGCAGTAACTAACTCATAAACAATTCTTTGACAAAGGTGTGTGTTTGTGTTTTCTCATTGGGATTTTATTGGTATTGTCTTGACGTTGGGTTGGTGGAGCTCATCCAAGAACTGTACTGTAAATTTCTTGACAATTGATATCAGACACTTACATCCATTATTTCAACCGTTTTTGTTGTTGTTTTTTTTTTTTTTGCCTTTTAATTTATATTAGTTCATGCAGATTAACCTTATTTACCAAATATCCATTCAGTGGTGTAGATTTCATATCGTTGTTACATTGGTCAATATTTTAAGTACGTGGTGACTAATGATTCAGTTGTACTGTATTTTCTCTCATGGGTTGCTTTATTTTTTCTGTGATTGTTGGGCTTTTGTTTTACTTGATTCAGGGCCGGCGCTAGCTGATTGGCGAAGTCCCCTCACCTTGCCGTAATATATTCATAATATACTAAAGCCTACTAATAGTTCCTAATCCAGTTAACACAGAAACACAGAATTCGGAATTATTAGATAGTCAAATGGTCTGGAGGTCAGTCTGGCTCCCATACTATCCCTTGGAGATGAATCTCGGGAAGACATCTGGGTGCATGTTAAACAGACGAAAGGGAATTAATATTCCATCGGTTGAAATATATATAATGGCAACGGCCCCGTAAAATTCAAGTTGCCCAAGGCCCCGCACCCTCCTAGCGCCGGCCCTGGCTTGATTCCTTTGTTTAAAGGTCAAAACTTACAGTTTAAAGTTGAGTGCGTTTATGTTTGCTATTGACACTTACTGTCTTTGTTTGATATTAGCGGTTATTTATCCCAAGCGTGTGTCATAGCTGACATTACAAACTAGTATTTGACAAATACTCGCCCTTACTTAAATGCTTGATGTTACTCAACGTACACATGTTTTTTCGCGAATTTAAAGTACTCATTTAAATATGTTTTTGTTTAAATCATCGCATATAAATCTTTATTATCATTTACCAATCACAAAAAGTGTGATTTACTTCTTCTTCTGAAAATCAATAATTCTTGTAGATACTTCCTTCAGTTCAATTTTTAAACGTATTTTTAACAGAATTGTTTTACTGAAATAGGGCATGTGCGCACATTTTATTATTTTTTTTCACTTTCTAAAAAAAAAGTAAATTATTTCCTTAATAATTCAGGCTCTGTAAAACAAATTTATGTAAATTAACTTTATTGTGAATGTCAAACAATCGTTTTTTCCTCTAAAAAGATTTAAAAACTGCTCTCGTTGAGTTAAACATCTAGCCCTCAGTGGGGCGGTCAACAATCTCTTGAGTTTGAGAGTAACACTAGAGAGCACGCGTTGATGGGTCAGACACACACCATGACAAGTAAAGAGCACGGTCTTTCTTCTCATGTTTTTGTTACAATGACTTTATCATATCATTGTTGCAATGTCCAGTAGTCCTTATCATAGAATTGTTACAATGACTAGTAGTCCTTATCATAGAATTGTTACAATGACTAGTAGTCCTTATCATATGATTGTTACAATGACTAGTAGTCTTTATCATATGATTGTTACAATGACCAGTAATCTTTATCATATGATTGTTACAATGATCAGTAGTCATTATCATAGAATTGTTACAATGACTAGTAGTACTTCTCACATCATTGTTACAAAGACTATTAGTCTTTATCATATCATTGTTACATTGAATAGTAGTCCTTCCAATATCATTGTTGCAATGACTAGTAGTCTTTATCATTGTTACGCACTGCCTTCTATTTTGAGAAATTAATATCTTATTTTCAGTTATTGGATCGTTCTAAACAGTGCGTAACAAAGGACGATGTGATAGAAAAATACAATAGCAAAAAATACGACACTCAAAACAGTACAAATTACAATTAATAAGATTTATTTAAGGATTAATATACTTACAAAACAAGAGCAATATAATTACAATCATCAACTTACAGAGTGGTATGTCTTTTACCGGTACTCAGTTAGTACAATGTGCCAATTAATAATGTACAATGACGAATGCAAATAAAAACATACAAGTACACACAGAATAATACACTTGTCTCGTGAAGTTAAAAATATCTCTCAATCAATCAATCTCTCTAGTAGTCCTTCTCATAGCATTGTTAAAAATACTAGTAGTCCTTCTTATAACATTGTTAAAATGACTATTAGTACTTCTCATATCATTGTTACAATGGCTAGTAATCTTTATCATATCATTGGTAAAATTACAAGTAGTCTTTATCATATAATCGTTACAATGAATAGTAGTCCTCATATCATTGTTGCAATGACTCGTAGTCCTTAAATCATTGTTACAATGATTAGTAATCGTTATCATATCATTGGTAAAATTACAAGTAGTCTTTATCATATAATAGTTACAATGAATAGTAGTCCTTCTCATATCATTGTTGCAATGACTCGTAGTCCTTAAATCATTGTTACAATGACTTGTAGTCTTTATTATATCATTGTTGAAGTAGGTCAGTCTTATATATAGAAAGTGTCTAACAATCATAGCAATAAACATCCATTATCGTTCGGTAATTTTAAATAAAACTAGGTCATACATAACTATAGAAAGCGTGCTAACAATACTAGCAATGAACATCCATTACCATTCAGTCACTTTAGCTTAATGTAGGTCAGACATAAGTATAGAAAGTGGGCTGACAATACTAGCACTGAAAATCCATTATCATTAGGTCACTTTTATTTAAAGTAAGCCAGAAATAAGTGTACAATGCATGGCAGTTGAGCATTAATATTTGTTACTTTATCACTAGCTCACTCAAATATTTCTCTTTTCTCAGGACATGTTCCAGTCTGGAATTAACTACGACATCGAAACTGAATTGAATGGAAAACACAAAAAGAGCTATGCGTAGAGAACAATACTCTGAAATTAGTTGAAGAGTTTCTATGGAATATTTTTTGTTAGTACCAAACTCAGTGGATCATAAAAATGGGACGACAAAACGTAGCCATCTTTATATCGGCCTTCACCTTGATCACGTGGCTAAATTGTGTCCATTTTTCCGAACAAAACATCACGACACATGACCTAGGACAGGACATAACACGTGTTGTAACGGATGCAAATTCTGATGTCTACGTGGGTGGCGTGAACTTCGTGGCACGATTCACCAACAAGTTGGAAGACCAGATCAGGAGCATCTCCATTGGACCTGTTTACGAGGCCAAAGACTGCGCACCGAATCGTGCTCCGTGCAACAACACGGTCAGAGTGCTGGAGTTAATCAAAGAGCTTGGTGTGCTGCTGGTGTGTGGTACAGCATACGACGGCACGTGTACACTTCACCGCCTGGTTGATCTCACCGAATGGTTTTGTCTTGTCGGCAACATCGACCCCGGTGCTTCTGTTTTTACCAGTCATGCCACCAATCAAACAACCGTGGTCCATTTGCTTCCACCGATTGATGACATTTCCTCCACCCCGTCTCAGTCTACGGGAGACGATTATGAATGCCGACACCAGAACTTTTCACTGCATTTTTCCAACGTTGCCAACAATGGCATTCTAGCGGCGATCAAGGAAACACAAATTGCAACATTTCGAAACAAACTAGTGAAGAGAAGTAACACCACTCCAAGTCAGGACTGGTTGTCCCCCACTGCAAGAGTTATGGTGGCTGGGAATATTCAACGCTCTGATATTTCGAACCCTGTCATGTTGTCAATGCGCAATATCAGATTTTCAGGAAATCACTTTATCATAGACTACGTAAATGATCCAGAAACACAAAAGAAAGGACTAGATATCGATCCGAAAATCAGATCAAATTTTGCTATAGATTACAAGTTCTCATTCACGTGGGCAAATTTTTCTTACTTCTTGACTGTGCAAGAGGATATAAAGGGTGACCAAAAAAAATCGATAACAAAGCTTAGCAGAGTTCCTAACAATAGTTCCCAGATTGTTCCCTTTGTTGAAGTGACTCTAGAGTGCGACCAAAATGTAAGAGTTTACATAATAGTTCATTTATATATCATCTTTTTGTAAGGATATTCACGTACACTTTACTTTAGTGTACAGAAAATTTACCATCTCTCCTGTACCTCAAAAAAATATGCTATAAAAGTATATATCCTTGTTGCACAAAGTAAAGAACAATCTAGTTTTTAAAAATAGATAATGCAAGATTTAAATAATTTTATTTTAAATTAAGCAACCCCTAACATCAACGTTCTTCTTATAAATCCTTTGATTCCTTATCTTATTTTTGTCCGACGTCGCAATGTGAACGTGGTGTGACTTTGCAGGACGATATCGCAAGTACTGGGATTTTTTTCTTTGGAGCTGTAAGCTGGTTCCCTAGACATAAGACCTTTCTAAAATGTAATACCCAGCAATGAGGCTTGGGCTGATAATTTGATAAAAGCATGCTTACAAAAGTAATGCACTTTATAAGAATCCCAATTAGTGTCCCCCACCCCCTTTTCTTTTTTTTAAGGCTCGCGACCGTTCATTCTTATCAACCCCTGAAATGCATTGATATTCTAATGACCCACCCGATTTCATACCTCAGGTTTATTTCACCAAATATTTCAGAAAAACAAAGAAAATATTACGTTTCAAATGAACTTTCAGTATTTTTTTTTCGTAAAGTTATATCATTTAGAGCAAGTAACGGGAATTTTATTTCGTGAAATCTGTTGCGTCATATTTCCTTCATCTCCCACTAGAAAAGCAGTAAAAATTGATTAAGGGGGGTTGGGGTGTGTGGAGACGCTGAACATTTGAAGAATGTGTTGCAATAGGTAACGAGTCTATGTGCCAAGTTTCAGTTCGACTGTTGGACGAAAAGAGACTCAATAAGCCTTCCAAAGATATTGCAAGTCAGAAACACACCAACAATAGCGAACTTAATATATAAAATTTAAATACTAAACTTGGATAGTAGAGACTATATATGACTTATATGAAAACATTGATTTTAGGAAGATGATATCTTAATATGGTGTTTAGGAATATAATATCTTAACATGATGATTAGGAGATATTATATTAACATGATGTTTTAGTGGATGGTATTTTAACGTGGAGTTTATGGGATGATAATTTACTTGAAATTCCATGTTGCGGTCTATAAAAAAATTCGTCAATATTTTTTCAGAGAACAATCAATAATCTGGCGACTACTGCGACCTTCGTCCAGACGGATTTCCCTCTAAACGGTACTTTCGTCCCTATTCCAGTTCTCCTGGTGGCATTTGGCAGAGGCGTTACCCCTCAATCAACAACAGTTGACCCAAGCAAAGGCGGCTCACTGTGTGCTTTCTTTATTGAGGATTTAGCCAAAAATGAATTTGATTATGCTTTAAATAATTGCAATAAAGGCGACAACATGTTAGTCGAACCGCCATATTGGATAACTGGAGCGTCAAAGGAATGTCAGGTTAGTTAGAGTGTAGCCATGTCCGTGATATGTGATGAGTTAGTTAGAAGGCAACCATGTCCGTGATATGTGATGAGTTAGAGTGTAACCATGTCCGTGATATGTGATGAGTTAGTTAGAAGGTAACCATGTCCGTGATATGTGATGAGTTAGTTAGAAGGTATCCATGTCCGTGATATGTGATGGGTTAGTTAGAAGGTAACCATGTCCGTGATATGTGATGAGTTAGTTAGAAGGTAACCATGTCAGTGATGTGTGATGAGTTATTTAGAGTGTAACCATGTCAGTGATATGTGATGAGTTAGTTAGAAGGTAACCATGTCAGTGATATGTGATGAGTTATTTAGAGTGTAACCATGTCAGTGATATGTGATGAGTTAGTGTGTAGCCATGTCCGTGATATGTGATGAGTTAGTTAGAGGGTAACCATGTCCGTGATATGTGATGAGTTAATTAGAGTGTAACCATGTCCGTGATATGTAATGAGTTAGTTAGAAGGCAAGCATGTCAGTGAAATGTGATGAATTAGTTAGAGTGTAGCCATGTCCGTGATATGTGATGAGTTAGTTAGAATTTAGCCATGACTGTGATATGTGATGAGTTAGTTAGAGTGTAGACATGTCCGTGATATATGATGAGTTAGTGTGTAGCGATGTCCGTGATATGTGATGAGTTAGTGTGTAGCCATGTCCGTGATATGTGATGAGTTAGTTAGAGTGTAGCCATAGCCGTGATATGTGATGAGTTAGTGTGTAGCCATTTCAGTGATATGTGATGAGTTAGTTAGAGTGTAGCCATGTCAGTGATATGTGATGAGTTAGTGTGTAGCCATGTCCGTGATATGTGATGAGTTAGTTAGTGTGTAGCCATGTCAGTGATATGTGATGAGTTAGTGTGTAGCCATGTCCGTGATATGTGATGAGTTAGTTAGAGTGAGCCATGTCAGTGATATGTGATGAGTTAGACAGAGTGTAGCCATGTCCGTGATATGTGATGAGATAGTTAGAGTGTAGCCATGTCAGTGACATGTGATGAGTTAGATTGTAGCCATGTCCGTGATATATAATGAGTTGGAGTGTAGCCATATCCGTGATATGTGATGAGTTACTTTAAGTGTAACCATGTCCGTGAGATATGATGATTTAGAGTGTAGCCATGTCAGTGATATATGATGAGTTAGAGTGTAACCATGCGAGTCATACGTGATGAGTTAATTAGAGTGTAGCGATGTCCGTGATATATGATGAGTTAGAGTGTAGCCATGTCAGTGATATGTGATAAAATAGTTAGAATGTAGCCATGTCTATGATATGTTATGAGTTAGTTCGAGTGTAGACATGTCCGTAATATGTGATAAGTTAATTAGAGTGTAGCCATGTCCTTGATATGTGATGACTTAGTTAGAAGGTATCCATGTCCGTGATATGTGATGAATTAGTTAGAAGGTTACCATGTCCATGATATTTGATGAGTTAGTTAGAAGGTAATTATGTCCATGATATGTAATGAGTTAGAGTGTAGCCATTGCCGTTATATGTGATGAATTAGTTAGAAGGTAACAATGTCCATGATATTTGATGAGTTAGTTAGAAGGTAATTATGTCCATGATATGTAATGAGTTAGAGTGTAGCCATTCCCGTGATATGTGATGAGTTAGTTAGAAGGTAACCATGTCCGTGATATGTGATGAGTTAGTGTGTAGCCATGTCCGTGATATGTGATGAGTTAGTTAGAAGGTAACCATGTCCGTGATATGTGATGAGTTAGTTAGAAGGTAACCATGTCCGTGATATGTGATGAGTTAGTTAGAAGGTAACCATGTCCGTGATATGTGATGAGTTAGTGTGTAGCCATGTCCGTGATATGTGATGAGTTAGTTAGAAGGTAACCATGTCCGTGATATGTGATGAGTTAGTTAGAAGGTAACCATGTCCGTGATATGTGATGAGTTAGTTAGAAGGTAACCATGTCCGTGATATGTGATGAGTTAGTTAGAAGGTAACCATGTCCGTGATATGTGATGAGTTAGTTAGAAGGTAACCATGTCCGTGATATGTGATGAGTTAGTTAGAAGGTAACCATGTCCGTGATATGTGATGAGTTAGTTAAAAGGTAACCATGTCCGTGATATACGATGAGTTAGTTAGAAGGTAACCATGTCCGTGATATGTGATGAGTTAGTGTGTAGCCATGTCCGTTATATGCGATGAGTTAGTTAGAAGGTAACCATGTCCGTGATATGTGATGAGTTAGTGTGTAGCCATGTCCGTGATATGCGATGAGTTAGTTAGAAGGTAACCATGTCCGTGATATGTGATGAGTTAGTTAGAAGGTAACCATGTCCGTGATATGCGATGAGTTAGTTAGAAGGTAACCATGTCCGTGATATGTGATGAGTTAGTGTGTAGCCATGTCCGTGATATGTGATGAGTTAATTAGAGTGTAACCATGTCAGTGATATGTGATGAGTTAGTGTGTAGCCATGTCCGTGATATGTGATGAGTTAGTTAGAAGGTAACCATGTCCGTGATATGTGATGAGTTAGTTAGAAGGTAACTATGTCCGTGATATGTGATGAGTTAATTAGAGTGTAACCATGTTCGTGATATGTGATGAGCTAATTAGAGTGTAACCATGTCCGTGATATGTGATGAGTTAATTAGAGTGTAACCATGTCAGTGATATGTGATGAGTTAGTGTGTAGCCATGTCCGTGATAGGTGATAAGTTAGTTAGAGGGTAACCATGTCCGTGATATGTGATGAGTTAATTAGAGTGTAACCATGTCAGTGATATGTGATGAGTTAACTAGAGTGTAGCCATGTCCCTGGTATGTGATGAGTTAGTAAGAAGGTAACCATGTCAGTGATATGTGATGTGTTAGTGTGTAGCCATGTCTGTGATATGTGATGAGTTAATTAGAGTGAAACCATGTCAGTGATATGTGATGAGTTAGAGTGTAGCCATGTCCGTGATATGTGATGAGTTAGTTAGAAGGCAAGCATGTCAGTGATATGTGATGAGTTAGAGTGTAGCCACATCCGTGATATGTGATGAGTTATTTAGAGTGTAGCCATGACTGTGATATGTGATGAGTTAGTTAGAGTGTGCCATTTCACTGACATGTGATGAGTTAGCTAGAGTGTAGACATGTCCGTGATATGTGATGAGTTATTGTGTCGCTATGTCCGTCATATGTGATGAGTTAGTGTGTAGCCATGTCCGTGATATGTGATGAGTTAGTTAGAGTTTAGCCATGTCAGTGATATGTGATGAGTTAGTTAGAGTGTAGCCATATCCGTGATATGTGATGAGTTAGTGTGTAGCCATTTCAGTGATATGTGATGAGTTAGTGTGTAGCCAGGTCCGTGATATGTGATGAGTTCGTTTGAGTGTAGCCATGTCCATAATATGTGATGTGTTAGTTAGAGTGTAGCCATGTCCATGATATGTGATGTGTTAGTTAGAGTGTAGCCATGTCCATAATATGTGATGTGTTAGTTAGAGTGTAGCCATGTCCATGATATGTGATGTGTTAGTTAGAGTGTAGCCATGTCCATAATATGTGATGTGTTAGTTAGAGTGGAGCCATGTCCGTGATTTATGATGAATTAGAATGTAGACATGTCAGTGATATGTGATGAGTTACTTAGAGTGTAGACATGTCCATGACATGTGATATGTTAGTTAGAGTGTAGCCATGTCCGTGATTTATGATGAATTAGAATGTAGACATTTGAGTGATATGTGATGAGTTAGTTAGAGTGTAGCCATGTCCATGATATGTGATGTGTTAGTTAGAGTGTAGCCATGTCCATGATATTTTATGTGTTACTTAGAGTGTAGCCATGTCCGTGATTTATGGTGAATTAGAATGTAGACATGTCAGTGACATGTGATGAGTTAGTTAGTGTGTAGCGATGTCCATGATATGTGATGAGTTAGTTAGAGTGTAGCCATGTCAGTGACATGTGATGTGTTAGTTAGAGTGTAGCAATGTCAGTGACATGTGATGAGTTAGTTAGATTGTAGCGATATCAGTGATATATGATGAGTTAGAGTGTAGCCATGTCCGTGATATGTGATGAGTTAGTAAGAAGGTAACCATGTCAGTGTTATGTGATGAATTAGTTAATGTGTAGCCATGTCTTTGATATGTGATGAGTTAGTTAGTGTGTAGCCATGTCTATGATATGTGATGAGTTAGTTAGAGTGTAGCCATGTCCATGATATGTGATGTGTTAGTTAGAGTGTAACCATGTCCTTGATTTATGATAAATTAGAATGTAGACATGTCAGTGATGTGTGATGAGTTACTTAGAGTGTAGCCATGTCCGTGATATATAATGTGATGAGTTAGTTAGAGTGTAGCGATATCAGTGATATATGATGAGTTAGAATGTAGCCATGTCCGTGATATGTGATGAGTTAGTAAGAAGGTAACCATGTCAGTGATATGTGATGAGTTAGTTAGTGTGTAGCCATGTCTGTGATATGTGATGAGTTAGTTAGTGTGTAGCCATGTCTATGATATGTGATGTGTTAGTTAGAGTGTAGCCATGTCCTTCATTTATGATGAATTAGAATGTAGACATGTCAGTGATGTGCGATGAGTTACTTAGAGTGTTGCCATGTCCGTGATATATAATGAGTTAGAGTGTAGCTATGTCAGTGATATGTGATGAGTTAGAGTGTAGCCATGTCAGTGATATGTGATGAAATAGTTGGAGTGTAGCCATGTATGGGATATGTAATGAGTTGTTAGAGTGAACCATGTCCGTAACATGTGATGAGTTAGTTAGAGTGTAGCCATGTCTGTGATATGTGATGAGTTAGTTAGAGTGTAGCCATGTCCTCTATATGTGAATAGTTTGTGTGGATTTTAGCCAAGAGCGAGATGTGTGATAAGTTCTATTTTTTTCTACTTTCAAGACAATTTAAAATCACTTTTCAAAGAATTTTTTTTTTTTAAACAATATTCATCATCCCTTTTTTTAGAATTTCCTAACTGCATAGTTATACACAACGGCTCATTGTCTGGTATTCAAAGTATTGAATATTGCCCCTAAACCAAACAATTGCCCCTATTCCAAACAATCGCCCCTAAACCAAACAATTGCCCCTATTCCAAACAATTGTCCCTATTCCAAACAATCGCCCCTATACCAAACGATTGCCCCTAAACCAAACAATTGCCCCTATTCCAAACAATTGCCCCTATACCAAACAATTGCCCCTATTCCAAACAATTTTTCCTATACCAAACAATCGCCCCTATACCAAACAATTGTCCCTTTTCCAAACAATTGCCCCTATTCAAATCCACCACACCTGTTCCCTCCAGCCACTTCATTTCTTGGCCTCCAAACTAATTTCAACCCACCATATGCTCTCAGCCTCACCTTTTAATTCCAACACCTGCTATTTAAGCCATTGTGTAGAAGGAGGAAAAAAAACAGGATCTTTAAATTTGCATTTAACAATATTTCCATTTGTTTATAGTCTGTGAACCTAACCGGACAAAAGAATCTGTATGTGAAGTCAATCTCAGAAGTCAGTTCCAAGTCATTACTGAATGCCAGCACATTCATCCGCGCCGCATACAGCTATGTTCCAAAGCTCAGCAACACTCCTGATTCCAAGTATTCCAACATCATCGATGTATTTTTCATCACAGGAACGGGCTCTATGGAAAATGTAAGTTCATATCTGTTGGTGAACATTTCTTTAAACCAGTGCAGCACAGTGTCCCTCCTCAATACCATTAATCCTTACAAAGCATGTGGTCCTGACCACATTAAACCACGAGTGCTCAAAGAATTAGCCAAAGAAATCGCTCCTGCACTGACAATCCTCTTCCAATCGTCACTATGCACAGGAAATGTTCCAGCAGACTGGAGAACAGCGCATGTCACTCCAATTTACAAGAAAGGGGAGCATTCCGACCCTGCCAACTATCGTCCGATATCCCTCACTAGCGTCGTCTGCAAACTGTTGGAGCACATAATCGTAAGCTCTGTCATGAAGCATCTTGAAAGCCAAAATATACTCAATGACTGTCAACATGGCTTCCGAGTCAATAGGTCATGTGAGACCCAGCTTCTCGAATTTGTAGAAGACTTGATGACCAATCTGGAGAACCACAAGCAGACTGACGTGCTAGTAATGGACTTCGCAAAAGCATTTGACCGGGTGAATCATAGTTTGCTTCTACACAAACTCCAGATATATGGGATTCAAGGCACCACTAAAACATGGATCTCTAGCTTCCTCAGCCACCGACGCCAAGCAGTAGTGGTGGGCGGTACAAGCTCCTCCTTTGTCAATGTGAAGTCAGGGGTCCCCCAGGGATCAGTCCTGGGCCCCTGTTTGTTCCTAGCATACATTAATGACCTACCGGAGAAACTGACATCACAGGCAAGACTGTTTGCAGATGACACAGCAGTGTATAGGACGATCGCCAACAGATCTGACCAGGACCAGCTACAACAGGATCTCAATCTGTTAGCTGAGTGGGAGATGAGCTGGGACATGGAATTTCACCCTGCCAAGTGCCAGACACTATCAATCTCTAGAAGTTGTACTCCTCTACACTACCAATACGAACTGCACGGCCATATACTTGAGCAAGTTTCCTCCGTAAAGTACCTGGGTGTTACCATTCAAAGAGAGGTCCGCTGGGACGAGCATATTAACAATGTATGTAACCAAGCAAACCAAGCCTTGGGGTTCTTAAGGCGAAATCTAAAGATTGGCAACTCCTGTGTGAAAGAAAGAGCATATAAAGCCTTTATCCGTCCGATTTTAGATTATGCATCTTCAGTCTGGGACCCATTTACCCAGAAGAGCATTGACAGGTTGGAGGCGGTCCAGCGACGAGCAGCACGCTTTGTCCTAAACCGCTACAGGAATACCTCTAGTGTTGGCAGCATGCTAGAAACACTAGGCTGGTCACCATTGGAGAAACGACGACGACAATCCAGGCTCTCCATGATGTACAAGATAAATAATGGGCTGGTCCACTGTTCCAGTATTAAACAGAAACTCGTCCCTCTCCCCCATAGACAGCGACGAGGCCATGACAGGCAATTCAGGCTCATACCAGCAAGAAGCCAGTATAGGAGCTGCTCATTCCTGCCCAAGACAATCAGGGACTGGAACAATCTTTCAAAAGGAACGGTTGAGGCGACAACACTAGACACATTTGTGTCTATTGCCTCAAGCCTTCAAACCACCAGTGCATGATTCCCTCACAAAGTGGCACTGGAAATCTGTGAAATTTCCTCATCAACACCAGGAACAGAAACATTGCAGAAACATCTACATGCATAGGAGCCAAAATGATCAATAAATTGATCGTGGGCCCTTAAGATATAGAAGAAGAAGAAGAAGAAGAAGATTGTCATTTATAGAAAAAATAGTGGAAGTGTGCTGCTTGAGCTTACTTTCAACAAAAGAGTTGTACTTGCTAAAAGATGTTAACAGGGCCGTGAAATTTTAAACCCGCACTTAATTAATTAACATTTTTTCCAATAGATGTAGGATTAAAAAATACTTAAAAGAAATGATAAATTCAATGCCACGTACCCAGATAATATTATCTATTTTTTTTTAAAATACAAGGCCTTACGTTAGAGTACCTTGCTCTACATTTTAATGGCTTGTAAAAAGATTGTAGTTTATTATTGGTTTTTTTAGGTCGGTGAAATTTTGTATTATATGCTTTTAAATCAGAGGCTCCAAAAATGTGTCCACTTCCTAACAGTGAAGTTAAAAAGAAAAACGCTATTTGCGCTTTGAACGTGGACGGTAAACGTGATCGTAGTATGGTGGCCGTGACTGAAATTGTTTGAGGACCTCTATTTTAATTATAATACCATTAAAAAACTTCTTTTCGTTATGCGAAATCTTTTAATGTGGATATGAACAAGATTACTGCCATTGTTAAAAGTTAGTTTTGAATACTGCGCATGTTCCTATTGTATTTAAATTTGAACATTCCATTCAGCTTTAAGGTGGCACTTTAAGGTCTTTTAATTAATCCTTGATATTCTTTTAAACAGTGTGGACTTATTTTTTGTTTCTTTGTGTCGATAAGTTTGCTATAAACGTCCAAATGAAAGTCTTATCATATTTCAGATGAATCTTCAAGTAAGCACGTCCGACAAACCAGTGGCCACAGTCAATCTTCTTGTTAATATGGACTTACCCTTTGGAAAGGAGATGATGGAACAAGGTCTGACACCCGTGGGTTTTCTTGATGATCTGAGGACCAATTTGTACTTGGCTGTGGGCAGCAAGGTCAGATGAACACAATAATATGCTAAACATTTTACTTGGTTTTGGGCAGTAAGGTGGGGTGTACACAATAGTATGATGCAATTTTTATTTGGCTGTGGTCAGTAAGGTTAGATGTGAAATATATGTGTTTAGGATTATGTTATTACTATGCAGTATTAAGCTGCCTATGCACTGTCCAGTGGGGCGAGCTGCCTAAGAACTGTCCAGTGGGGGCGACCTGCCTAAGAACTGTCCAGTGTGGGCGTGCTGTCAAAGAAATGTCCAGTGTGGGCGTGCTGTCTAAGAACTTTCAAGTGTGGGCGAGCTGTCAAAGAACTGTCCAGTGTGGGCCAGCTGCCTAAGAACTGTCCAGTGTGGGCGTGCTGTCAAAGAAATGTCCAGTGTGGGCGAGCTGCCTAAGAACTCGCCAGTGTGGGTGAGCTGCCTAAGAACTGTCCAGTGTGGGTGAGCTGCCTAAGAACTCGCCAGTGTGGGTGAGCTGTCAAAGAAATGTCCAGTGTGGGCGTGCTGTCTAAGAACTTTCAAGTGTGGGCGAGCTGTCAAAGAACTGTCCAGTGTGGGTGAGCTGCCTAAGAACTCGCCAGTGTGGGTGAGCTGTCAAAGAAATGTCCAGTGTGGGCGTGCTGTCTAAGAACTTTCAAGTGTGGGCGAGCTGTCAAAGAACTGTCCAGTGTGGGTGAGCTGCCTAAGAACTCGCCAGTGTGGGTGAGCTGTCAAAGAAATGTCCAGTGTGGGCGTGCTGTCTAAGAACTTTCAAGTGTGGGCGAGCTGTCAAAGAACTGTCCAGTGTGGGAGAACTGCCTAAGAACTGTCCAGTGTGGTCTGGCTGCCTACGTTCTGCCCTTTATCAGCGACTTTTTCACTTTGTTCTTACGTCATTATACACCGAACTGAACACACGTATTTTTCCCTTAGTAATGAAAATGTAATCTATGAATACACCCAAGAGGCTGTACATTTAATTAAACACATGTATAGTACAGCTCGCTATAAGAGACAATAACACACAACGATACGCTACAAAGTTCGTTTGAGTGGCAGAAGGTGTATTAATAGCTGCTACCAATGCTTGTAGCATTTATTCTTATAAAACTCGAACTACAACATTTGTAGTATTTAGATATACTTCTTTAATAACACGTCTGCTTGCAGCATTGACTGGTATTACTTCAGCGGTATGTTACAGTTTCTCTTCTGTATCCACACTATTTATAATACGGAGAATTGATAGCTTAATAACTACAGAAATGTATCAATGAGTGTCTCTTTTTAAACTGAAAAAAAAATTTACTCTAACCTATGGCATCTTTTGTTTTTTTAGATCATGAGGATGAGTGTGAATTTCTGTCGCCAGTTTCCTAACTGTGAGCAGTGCATGTCGTCACATGAAGTGTACACGTGTAAATGGTGCCCACATCTTAATATCTGCCAGGATTCCAAGCTGACCTGTAACGGCAGGGACGAGGGCTCTTGCCCACCAAAACTAGAGAAGGTGGAGTCAGTCATTCTAGTTCAGCTTGTCTTTCTTCAACTATAAGTATTTATTTATTTATTTAGGCATTTTTATATAGCGCTTACCTTAAAGCTCTAAGCGCTTTACAATTATTAAAAACATGTAAACTAAGTAAAATAAAAATGAAAAACCAGAGACACTAGGATAGTAACTACTATACTATAGAAACAATTAAAATGGCTATAAAACGAGGACAATATGGCACGTTTTGGCCTATACTGCAGGATCAACCCGAGACAGAAAATGAGGCAGGGCAAAGAGGGTGCATCACAGGTCATAGGCGGACCTAAACAGATGGGTTTTAAGGGACTTTTTGAAAGTGGACGAGGTTTCACAATGACGGATATGGAAGGGGAGCTAGTTCCAGAACGTGGGCCCATAGAAGTAGAAGGAGTGTTCACCAATGGTCTTAGTTTTGGTTCTTGGGATTGAGAGGGTTCTATTGTCAAATGAAGAGCATAGTTGTCTTGTGGGGATGTAAGGAAGAAACAGTTCAGAGAGATAGACACATAAAGTCTTTATCCGTCCGATTTTAGATTATGCATCTTCAGTCTGGGACCCATTTACCCAGAAGAGCATTGACAGGTTGGAGGCGGTCCAGCGACGAGCAGCACGCTTTGTCCTAAACCGCTACAGGAATACCTCTAGTGTTGGCAGCATGCTAGAAACACTAGGCTGGTCACCATTGGAGAAACGACGACAGGCTCTCCATGATGTACAAGATAAATAATGGGCTGGTCCACTGTTCCAGTATTAAACAGAAACTCGTCCCTCTCCCCCATAGACAGCGACGAGGCCATGACAGGCAATTCAGGCTCATACCAGTAAGAAGGCAGTATAGGAGCTGCTCATTCCTGCCCAAGACAATCAGGGACTGGAACAATCTTTCAAAAGGAACGGTTGAGGCGACAGCACTAGACACATTTGTGTCTATTGCCTCAAGCCTTCAAACCCCTAGTGCATGATTTCCTCATCAACACCAGTAACAGAAACATTGCAAATCCCATCTACATGCATAGGAGCCAAAATGATCAATAAATTGATCGTGGGCTCTTAAGATATAGAAGAAGAAGAAGAAGAAGTGAGGGTCAGTGAACGAGTTGAAGCATAGATTGGAAGACTTGTATTTGATGCGAGAGGATATTGGAAACCAGTGGAGTTGCCGCATGTGTGGTTGAATGTGGTCATGTTTCTTTGATTTAAAAATGAGTCTGCATGCTGAGTTCTGTGCCTTCTGAAGTTTGTCTATGTGGTGTTGAGGAATGCCTGTGAGAAGAGCGTTACAGTAGTCAAATTTTGAAAGAATGAGTGAAGAGACGAGAGTTTTTGTGGCATCAACTGAGAGGAGGTGTCTAATGGTGCTGATTTTTCTAATTTCGTTGTATGCTGATCTGCATATATTTGTGACATGTTTGTCCATGGAGAGGGTGTCTGTAAGCGTGACTCCAAGGTTTCTGGCAGAGAAAGAGAGTGTGATGTCGGAGTTGCCAATAGTTATAGAAGAAGGAGCGGATGGAGAGAGAGGTTTGTTTTTGTATACATCTCAAATTTAACCATCAACACACATACAGATGGCATAAAGTTTAAATAAGTTTGTAAACATAACAATTATTCCCATCGCTCACCACAAGCCATTTTTGTAGGGGAATTATTGCCCTAGTTAAGTGGTCGGCAAATCGCGGCCCTGAATGTGGCTTGGCCAGCCGGCCACAAATTGATTTTGGCTTCGTAAAACATGGTTTTTGGCACGTTCTTGAAAAGAAATTTGGCTCTCAAAAATTGTTAATCGTCCTGTTGCTGATTTTGGCTCTTTTGAGTTTGCCGACTACTGACCTAGGCCATGGTCAAGTATATTTTGTAGACACGCTGCAGACGGTTTTTATTTGTTTGCTTATAACTGGGAAAGATACACGACACGTTCTGCCGACACGTTCGCTGTTTTTTTTGCATTTAATTTTTAAGGTTTAACCCTACTCTGTTTTACTCATTTCATTGTGTACTAAGCTGATTCCAGTCTCTCCCCTTATTACCCTTGGGAAAGACATAAAGGGTAAAGGAAACATGAAATAAAATTAGGACCATTTTGGGAAAGTCATGTGTAAAGGATCGATGAAATTGAAATTAATCTCATACGGCTCCCCTTCCATAACTGCAAACGTTTAAATCGATTATCAGCCTGAAGGGATAAATATTTCGGCACAAGAGTTTCTACGCCTCATATTGTAACAATTCCCCGGCTGTGCTTAATAATTTTACATCACGTTAGATCTATATTGTAGTTGTATTTATTTAGAAGGAGAAATACGTTGAGTGAGGTTGACGCCGCGCAACTCTTCCTCACTTTAAACAAAAGTCACTAGCGCAAGTCATCAGTCACCGGACGACCCGATGGTCATCGTTGATCCTCGATGGATGAACAACAACAACAACATCATCACGTTATTATTGCCACCACATACAGCGCTCTGTCCCGAGATGCAGAGTTGAACTGCAGAAGCAGCATCTTATAAGGCCAGATTGAACAAGTCGGTCCTGAACTGCGCCAACTTCACAAAAAATGACTTATCAGTGGTGTCTACTAGGACTTCAGTTCTTAGATCTAGGACCGTGCCAAGGAAAAGTTCCGTTCTTGGTGGAGTTTGACCCCCCCCCCCCCACTTTTTTCCCCTTTTTTTAACATTTCATAAATAAATGCTGTATGATATAGAAATTATAAATAAGATACCATGTGCATAATTTATGATTGTGATGCTACCCGAGGATGGGTCTCGGAGCGGCCGTCCCTTCGACCCAGATTAGAAAGCTCCTATGTGGCAAAGATGTGTGGGCCAGATACTTGAGAAAGGTCTGTAGCATTAACCTATACACATGAAATTATATTATCTTAAAGTGTATAACACAGAGTTCAACGAAGGGACACTGTCTGACAGCAATACCTCAATTCTCAGTCATCTGATTAAAGTGAACACAAGTCACATCTCCAAAGACTGACTGAAATGCAGAGGGGAAAGACCATTAAGGCAAACCATAAGAAAAGACCGTGTGGCAAAGCCATACGGCAAGACTATCAGGAAAGACCAAAAGTTAAGACCCTCTGGCAAGACCATAAGGCAAGACCATAAGGCAAGACCATAAGAAAATACCATCAGTCAAGACCATAAGGCAAGGCATTAAGGCAATACCATCAGGCAAGACATATGGCAGGACCATAACGCAGGACCAAAAGGCATGTCTTTGCTACAAAGAAAAAGTCTAACAAGTTCTAATGATGACCAGGTGTAATTAAATGGCTAATATCAATTTCAGCTGAAATGGACGCAAGTAACACATAATTTAATAACCCAGGAAGTGATAAATACAAACAAAGATAAAAGAAAGTTAACCAGGAAAGCCAAGAGCATCACTGGTCAACGCTGACCTGTGAAAAGTCCAGATACGATTGTCAGTCCAGGTTATGACCAATGAGTCAATCTAAGAGGTGCACACCCTCATCTTTTCATGATGCCTATGCATCTCCACATAGAAGTGAATAATTAGAGTTAGTGGGCATCCAAAACATAACATTATGAATTTTAGCTAAGAAATTATGAGTAATGGCCTATAAATTATAGTTAAGATATTATGAATTATAACTAAGACGTTGTCAATTATAACTAAGAAATTGTGAATTATAGTTAAGATATTATGAATTATAACTAAGACGTTGTCAATTATAACTAAGAAATTGTCAATTATAGCTAAGAAATTATGAATTATAGCTAAGAAATTATGAATCATAGCTAAGAAATCAATTATTGAAATATTTTCCGTATCTTCTTTTCTATATTTTAGTGTGCATTCGTGTAACAACAAATGTATGAACCTAATTTAAAAAAAGGTCACCTTTTAACATAAAATGTTGAATTAATTATGTGCATATAGTGTTGGTTTATTATTGACAATACTCCACCGCAGTTCAGTCCTGAGTTTTTCCCAACTGAAGGAGGAAGCTTGTTGACCCTTGACATAGCTAACTACCGAATGCCAGAAAATGACACCCTTAAGGTGAATGTCACGATATGTGATCAGCCTTGTGAAGTTAACTCTTCAAAGCAAAGGTAAACTGATGAATTGAGCTTAAAATAACACTTAAACTTAATCAGAACATGACAGAAATATTACTACAAGACTTAATCTGAATCCAAAAGTTACAGAAATACTACTGCTAAACTTAATATTTATCATAAGGATAACAGAAATACTAATACAAGACTTAGACCTAATCTTAGTACCAAGGTAACAGAAAATACGAAATGCTTTTGGTAACATAAAAATCTTATAAATTGTAATTATAAAACTTTAAAAAGGAATTCATGTAATATCTGGACACTTTTTAAGTAACTTGCTTGGTTGCTATATTTAATCTCAATTGAAAAAAACTTTCTCAGCTTCTCAAGAAAAAAAAAAAAAAAATACAGCTCCTTAATATCCTAGAGAAAATGAAATACAAACTCTTCATTTATGACGCTAATGAAATACAAACTCTTCATTTATGACGCTAATGAAATACAAACTCTTCATTTATGACGCTAATGAAATACAAACTCTTCATTTATGACGCTAATGAAATACAAACTCTTCATTTATGACGCTAATGAAATACAAACTCTTCATTTATGACGCTAATGAAATACAAACTCTTCATTTATGACGCTAATGAAATACAAACTCTTCATTTATGACGCTAATGAAATACAAACTCTTCATTTATGACGCTAATGAAATACAAACTCTTCATTTATGACGCTAATGAAATACAAACTCTTCATTTATGACACTAATGAAATACAAACTCTTCATTTATGACGCTAATGAAATACAAACTCTTCATTTATGACGCTAATGAAATACAACTTCTCAACGTCTGAAGAACATTAAATACAACACCGTAATTTATTAAGCTAATGAAATACAATGTATTCATTTTATATGGAACTCCACAATCCATTATAATATGTGTTATCTATTAATGTTCTACACATAAATCCTGATCACGTGTCGTTCTCTATTTAAAGCCCGATCACGTGCATAGTGCCGCCATGCAGACAATGCCAGACAACACCCAGAGAGTGCAATGTAACCGTAAAGCTGGAACAGTTGGAAGGCATCAACATCACCCTGTCTTCATTCAACCTATCACTTCATCCTACTTTCAAATATGTGGTAAGTACTTGTTCATATTGTTTTCACGTATAATACACCATTAGATAACTTGGTGACTCAAATAGAAAAAAAAAGAAAGACAATGATATCAGGTTTTGTCCAAAGGCTTTTACAACTAATTTAAACACTCCATCTTAACGTCGTTCTCTGTCAGTTTCATAGTAGGTTGAATGTTCATATTTTATGGTAGGTTGAATGTTCATGTTTTTTTTTCACCCTTTACCTCTCATTACATAAAGTAAAAATCCTTATAAGGTTATAAACAAGGTTATCAATTAATTCACTAAACGTAATTTAAGTCAAGAAGCAAGATTCGTGTAGAAATTTTTCTTATACAGTTGGCCGTCTATTTAGTCGTGTGGAAAAGATTCTTATATAGTAGGCCGTCTATTTAGTCGTTTAGAAATTTTTCTTATACAGTAGACCATCTATTTAGTCGTGTGGAAAAGATTCTTATATAGTAGGCCGTCTATTTAGTCGTTTAGAAATTTTTCTTATACAGTAGACCATCTATTTAGTCGTGTAGATTGTTTCTTATACTGTAGACCTTCTATTTTTCTGACTCCGATTATCTGATACGTCGGTGTTCTGAACCGTACCTGTCTTTGCTTTTAAATTTTTACAACCTATAGCTCCCCAAATAAAGGCAGCAGAGATGTGTGCACTTTCCACATACAAAAGTCCCTTGACAAAACATGCCCTCAAATGACCGTACTTTATAAGAATACCAATTGGTGCTTACACCGTGTAAGCCATCGCAAACATTTCTACCCCCCCCCCCTGAACTATATTAACAATTAAAACCCACCCTTTTTACACGGCAGATTTCTTACATCATTTTTATATTGAGACTCTTTTCCGCAAACCAAAGAAAATAATTTTTACCCACCGAACACACTTGCGGTATTCCTTTTAGAATCTCCTTTAGTGCAGTTCTTGGTAAGTTTATTTTGCGCACACCTGAATTCACCAATACACGATTCTTTCTTTCATACCTAGAGCTTTAAATTGATNTAGCTCCCCAAATAAAGGCAGCAGAGATGTGTGCACTTTCCACATACAAAAGTCCCTTGACAATACATGCCCTCAAATGACCGTACTTTATAAGAATACCAATTGGTGCTTACACCGTGTAAGCCATCGCAAACGTTTCTCCCCCCCCACCCTGAACTATATTAACAATTAAAACCCACCCTTTTTACACGGCAGATTTCTTACATCATTTTTATATTGAGACTCTTTTCCGCAAACCAAAGAAAATAATTTTTACCCACCGAACACACTTGCGGTATTCCTTTTAGAATCTCCTTTAGTGCAGTTCTTGGTAAGTTTATTTTGCGCACACCTGAATTCACCAATACACGATTCTTTCTTTCATACCTAGAGCTTTAAATTGATGAATTATCGTACGCAGTGCGCATGACATAGATCACTGTGCCACAAATATCTGCAAATAATTCCGACCACTGTCACACAATCCGAGTTTATCCAGACATGTACTGCACACGCAAAGACCAGAGTAGGATATTGCCATCTGCAAGGTTTCCCTGGAAGTGTCCGGTTATCTGGAAGAAATGTAATCCGAAAGGTCCCCCCCCCCCGGCCCCAGTTTGTTCGGATGATCGACGCTCTGCTGTGCGAATGTAAATCTAATGATCAATAAGGACGATGACCTGACAGCTTGTGACAATGCAATATGTCATCCAAAAGTGTAAGCAAAAAGATTTAAAAAAAAACAGTTCAGTTTGTATGAAAATGAGTCATTCAAAAATTCAAAATTGTTTCAATGCCCAAGATTACTTCATCTCATGTTTTTCTTTAGATTTAATCTCAAATTCGGCTGCACGAAACTCAAATGTGTTAGTGAGCATGGCACTAACCCCGTCCAAACATGTGAACTGAAGAAGAATTTAAACATCTCAATCATTGGCACTTCACTATAACATATCATACGCTACGACCATGTTTAAACATCTAATTCATTAGCTCATCATTTAAATGTCTCATTCATTGGCATATACTATTTTATCTTCTGGACACCTGTAGTTTGTGTTATTTGGATTTTATTCAAGTCTACTTTGTGATTTTGTCTGTCTCGAAGTTTTGCTTTTGTCCGTCTCAAATTGTGCTTTTGTTTTTCTAAACGTTGTGCGTTTGTCTGTCTCCACTTTGCGCTTTTGTCTGTCTCAAAGTTGTGTTTTTGTCTGTCTCAAAGTTGTGTGTTTGTCTGTCTCAAAGTTGTGTTTATGTCTGTCTCAATGTTATGTTTTGTCTGTCTCAAAGTTGTGTTTTTGTCTGTCTCAAAGTTGTGTTTTTGTCTGTCTCAACGTTGTGTTTTGTCTGTCCCAATGTTGTGCCTTTGTCAGTCTCAAAGTTGTGTTTTTGTCTGTCTCAACGTTGTGTTTTGTCTGTCCCAATGTTGTGCTTTTGTCTGTCTCAAAGTTGTGTTTTTGTCTGTCTCAACGTTGTGTTTTGTCTGTCTCAAAGTTGTGTTTTTGTCTGTCTCAACGTTGTGCTTTTGTCTGTCTCAATGTTGTGCTTTTGTCTGTCCTAACGCCTAGATACCCAAACATAAATCACAGAGAGGAGCGGTTCTGTATTGACACAACTAGATCAAAAGAAGTTTGGGATAAGAAGGGCCGGACACCCCCCACCCCCCCCCCAACTCTGTAATATCTGTGATGTGACAATTTTAACATCTTATACTAGGACAACATTTACACATCTCCTTCACTAAGACATCATTTTAACAATATATAAACGAATACATCCTTTAAACATCGCACACACTCGGACATCATTGAAATATGACAAGCTATGAGTAAGCACCATTCCACCTCCTTAGGCTCAGTTATTATATTTTATTTCTTGTTCTTTTCCATTTAAATCATCAAAACTTCTGTTTTTTTGTTTTTTGTTTTTTTTAAGTCACCACTGGTAGAATCCTTTTCGCCCAACCACGGACCTATTTTTGGTGGCACGTTACTAGAGGTCAAAGGTCAGTACCTGAGATCCGGCACCAACAGAAGAATCTCAGTGGCTGGTATCAAGTGTGTCATACAAGATACCTCCCAAAACATGTAGGATATTTTATTCTTTACTCGAAATCCATTAGAAATGTTAGGGTTTTCAGTATAACTTTTTTCAACATTGTTTGAAAATTTCTATTTTGTTAGTTTAAACTCTCTTTATATTTTTAAAACTATATTTTTTTACACATTTTTAGGTCATTATTTTGTTTATTACCTTTATTTAAGAATATTTGACAAGTTTCTTATTTTCCTAACCGGGCCTATGGCAAATCTTGTAGACGTAAATTTGTAAACTATAGAGCTACAGTAAAAGTCGCTGGTTACAACTGCCCTATAACATCTTTATATTTTGGAAGGTTATTTTAATTCAAGTTTGCATTTTCAAATTTGCTTGACACAGATCTCGAAGAAATTAAAATTTAATAGGGTGTTGTGATAGCTCAATCGCTTCTTAATTGTTTGTGTTGTGACGTCATGCACATCAATTTTTCTAACATCATTGTTACAGCTTAATCCTTGCTTAATTCCCTGTGTTGTTACTTTAGGCGCATCCTTTTTGTCAAGGGTATGAGAACCACTGTTGTTATGTGTAGAGCATTGTTGCCATCTTTGATCGTGATACGTGTAGCTGTATCGTTTGTGTGAGAGTGTTGTGACGTAATTGTGTAATGGGAAGTGACGTGTTAGTTTTCGTTGTTGTTAGAGAGGAGAGATGGCCGTTGTGCACTATTCAAGACATAGCTTCCTGTGTGATGTTTCTATGTGTGAGGATTTCAACTAGATATATTGTGAAGTTGAACGGTTACAAGCTGTATAGTGAAGTACACTGATTGTCATGTTGAAGAGGCATATTAAATTTATATATTGTATCGAAGCGTGGAGTGTTTGTTGATTTGGAGACTATTACTATTGGTTGTGCTGTTCGGTGATCATGTGGGAGACTTGGCTGGATGAATAGACACTCATTACCATGAGTGGATGATTTGCAACACAACAGATACAACGTCTCGACAAGTTTCTACCGTCACTGTTATAGCTCAATAGCTGTTTAATTTACTGTGTTGTGACGTAATACACGTGTTATTTTCTCAAGTTACCCACCTCATGTATTCGTTCACTAAACAACAACTGCATCAACATCAAATATTATTTTCATTCAATACTGACGCGGCCTGGTATATTTTCATTAATAATTTAGAATCTCAAGAAGTATGTCTAATAAATAGACGCTATAAATGTATAATTTCATGATATCTGTCCAGTGTGATAGCGCATTATTCTCATTGCAAATTATTAGGATTTTTTTTTTAAAGCAGACTTTTCCCCTCCTGTACAGAGGTAGTCTTTAGCTATATAATTATTGACGCTAGTAACGTGTTAAAAAAAAACAATGTTGATTACTCTTTCCACCTCTTAAAACATGTAACAGGAATTCACTCAGATGTCAAACCGGAAAACATCAGAGCGGAAAACGTCTCAGCGGTGTCGTGACAGTTCACATTGACAAGTTTCAACAGAACGTTTCTAAAACAAATTTCACTTATAAAAAAAATCCTGTCATCATGAGTATCAAGCCCGGCAACATGTTACAAAGGTAACACAACCGTGGGTAGATATGTGTTCATTTGCAACATAAGCTGTATAATTTTTTTTTTCCATTTACAAATAAAACTTTGGTGTTAAATAGTGGACAACATGGATGTATTATCAAATTGACTAATCTGTGACAAGTTTCTTTATTTTTTTTTTTTTTTATTTTTTTTTTTTTTTACATTTACAAATAAAACTTTGGTGTTAAATAGTGGACAACATGGATGTATTATTAAATTGACTAATCTGTGACAAGTGCCTTTATTTTTTTATTTTTATTATATTTTTTTGGGTGATGGGTGTATAAAAGGTTTATTAATTTGCACGCTAATCAAAGATGGGTATGTTTGATGCCATTCTGACATTAACTGCGATGTTATCATTGTTGCTATCCCATCTTCCAACAGCGGCGGTACGAATGTCATTGTCACAGGGGCGGACCTCTCCAGCGCTGCATTCTCAGAACTTGTTATTTTCTACAATGACACTTTCGACAACAAGAGTTTTGTAAGTTTAGAAAATTTGCTTCTACTATTGCTCCCTTACGGTCCTTTCGTTTAAAAATAGATAGCTGAAAATTAAATCTTATTAAGTTATCAGGAAAAAAACAGTCCAAATATATTAATTGTATTGATTTTAAAGGACGATACAGACCAACTACATTAACTGTATTGATTGCAAGGAAAGAAACAGACCATATCGATTAAAGGTATTGATCTTAAAGGAAGAACTTATGGGGAAGGGGTAGAAGTGGGGCTGAAAATTTTGTGTGTGTTGTCATCAGCAACGAGTCTATGTGCGAGGTTTCAGCTCGATAGGTTGATGGGAAGTGGGTCAATAAGCCATCCTAAAATTTTCCCTCCCAGCCAGAAACACACGAATAAAAGTCAAGTTGATATAAAGTTGTTATGTCTTTTTTTTTTTAAATTAAGGATGTAAATTAGCATTTACAATGTATGAGACACTGCGTTCAAGTTATATCATGGTACTATTTTTTGGTTGTCGTGTCTTTACAATTTCAAGCTTTGGCATATTTTTTCTACTATGTAAATTACTAATTCAACGAGTATGTGTTTTTTTTTTCTGCCAGTTCGCTAAGGGTCAGTGCTTCAATAAAAACAACACCACCCAGATGAGATGTGTCACTCCAAATGTTTACGACATCACGTCACCATATTTCACAAGGCATCCAGCAGCCGTTCAAGTCGAAGCCCAGGTGTCCATTGAAATGGACGGCCACGACATGGTTGTTTCAGATGTGTCTCTATCCAAGAAGTTAATGATCCATATTGATCCCGATTTCACTTCACAAGATGCCAGTCTCTCGTTCAAAAATCCAAATCTTACCTTATGGGTAATTTACGAATTATTACTCAGAGATTAAGAACGTTACAATTTAGACTTTATTACAAATATAATGCACGATGAACGCTAATTTTTAGACTTATTTTAGAATTAATACTCACAAGAAATCTTTTCTCATGGAACTTTGATATAGTCTATTGATAGAGGTTTATTGTGTTGTAGTAGAATAGAAGCATATTGTGTTGTAATGTATATTTATAAAATTGATGTCATTTTACAACAGAATTGCAATTTGGTGTGTAACTTTTAGAAACTCGTGGTTTTTTTTAGTATTTCCAATCAGCTTTTTTAAAAGTTTTTTTAAATCCGTATTTTTAAAATACGTCTATTCGATAAATTTTGTTTTTTTATTATTATTATTTATTTATTTTTGCTTTCACTAACACAAATTTTAGTCCCTAAAACATACAACACGAAGCGACTGTTGAGATTGTGTGTTTTTTCTTTGTAAGAAAAACAGTAATTAAATTGAGAAAAAAATATTATCTAAATTTCCACCAAAATGTCATCTAAATTTTCAACAAAATGTGCTCTACATTTTCATTGTGCAGGGCAAGAACCTACCTGTATGGATGGATAAGCACGAAATCAAAGTAAAGGTCGGTGTCGTCCCTTGTCCAGTAAAGGTGATTTTCACCGGCCATTTGGTGTGTAACGCTCATAATCTTATTGAGAAAGTCAGACGTGAAAAAAATCAAACGAAATTGACAGACACTAAAGGGGACACAGCAGACATGACTACAGTATGGTCTACAACGAATAAACCAGTGGACAGCAAGCCTAATGCTGTGGACATACGAGGCCGACAGTCTACAACAAATACTTCCATTCCTGAAAACATCACTGCCGACACAAATGCGCACCATTCTAACACCTCCACGACGACATTGGCGCCAGTCACGGCCAATGACCTGCAGTTCGACCTTGTCGTGGAGGTGCAGATCGGAAACTATAGAAAGGAACTTGGCAGCGTGACGGTGTCCGTTGTTGACCCAGAGGACGCCCAACAAAGTAAAATCAAGATATACGTCGGGGCGGGCGTGGCGGGACTGATCATCTTCATGTTACTAGGGGCCACAGTGACGCTGCTCATCAGGGCCAAGAGGTCAAAGGCAAGCAAAGGTCAGCTATTTAGTGGTACGGTTAAATTGTTTTAGGCTGAGATAGTTAAAACAGAGTGGAGTCCGAAATCAGGGAAGCAATATTCAAAGCCACATTTCACCGGTTTGCAAAAACAATTTAAAAAATCTCATGCTTCTTTTGTTTTGAAAAAAAAAGTAAAATTGAGTTTAAAGTATAAAACTATAGATCAAATTTTAATAAATATGGAATTCAAACAAACATTGATGGTTTTAAAGTAAGTCAATGCCTTCAAATGACTCCATTTTAAAGGCGTGACTTTGTCAATAGCCAGACTGCAGTTGAGAAGCTGGACTGGAGTAGGGTGGTAGTTAATGGTGGTCACAGCCTAGATGGTTAATCCATTCAAACAAACATGCTTGTAATGGGCTTTTGGCTGGATGGTTCATCCATTCAAACAAACATGCTTGTAATGGGCTTTTGGCTGGATGGTTCATCCATTCAAACAAACATGCTTGTAATGGGCTTTTGGCTGGATGGTTCATCCATTCAAACAAACATGCTTGTAATGGGCTTTTGGCTGGATGGTTCATCCATTCAAACAAACATGCTTGTAATGGGCTTTTGGCTGGATGGTTCATCCATTCAAACAAACATGCTTGTAATGGGCTTTTGGCTGGATGGTTCATCCATTCAAACAAACATGCTTGTAATGGGCTTTTGGCTGGATGGTTCATCCATTCAAACAAACATGCTTGTAATGGGCTTTTGGCTGGATGGTTCATCCATTCAAACAAACATGCTTGTAATGGGCTTTTGGTCTTGTACGCCTTTGAAACGAACCCACCGATAAATACTTATTTACGAAATACTTTTTTTTTAAAATTATACTGCTCTGATACTAGCTCACTAATTGTGAGTCCTTGATAGCAGGTAACTAACTGACACTTACTTGATACTGTCTGACACACTGAAACTTACTTGATACTATCTGACATACTGATACTTACTTTATACTTTTTGACACACTGATACTTACTTGATACTATCTGACACACTGATACTTACTTTATACTTTTTGACACACTGATACCTACCTGATACTGTCTGACTCACTAAAACTTACTGGATACTGTCTGACACACTGATACTTGATACTGTCCGACACATTAATACGTCCTCGATACTAGCTGACCAATAAACTTCACTTTACAGCCGGTGGAATCACACCAAAGCCAACATTGAAGCAGATTTTAGAATCTGTCGTGGAAGTGAACAAGAGAGACGACATGGACAAGATCATAGTGACCTTAGATCGTCTGACCGTTGGTCGGTCTATCGGATCTGGTAAATTACATTTTTTATGCTTCTAATACAAGTTATATTTGCACCCCAAAAATTAATTAATTAATAAAAGTATATTTTAATGTAATATTTTTAAAATGGACGTTCAATAATTCTCTCGTTTTCAATTAAACTCAAATTAGGGTAATAAGGGGAGAGACTAGAAATCAGGTTAGCACAATATAAAATAAGTAAAACAGAGTAGGGCTAAACCTGAACAAATAAACGCAACAAAAACAATTCTTTTGCTGCTCACGGATACTACTTCCCAGCTAAGTGCTATTTCTTTTTTTAAATTTATTTTTGCACCGTTTTTTCTGTTGTTTTGTTCGCTGGCGAAGGCTTTCTGCCGACACGTTCGCGGTTTTGTTGCGTGTATTTTTGCAGGTTTAACCCTACTCTGTTTTACTCATTTTATAAACTCAAATTACCTCGCTTACTAATACACAATCTCTAGATCACCAGTGGATAGTTCTGTCAAAGTAGAGGTGAAATAAGTTAGACATTGCAAGCAGAGAGGGGGTGTCACCAAATTATAAGTTCATAATGTTAAATTTATAAGAAAAAATACGGCATGAATGAATTGTAACTATTTCTTCATTTGACAACACCAACGTGACAAAGAGCTACAACTAGAAAATTGACTCTTAACAAGTCATATCAATCTCTCTTGTATCCCTAAGGTAACTTTGGATGTGTGTACGAGGGTATGCTAGAGATAGGCTTGGGGATCCCAGCTCGGAAAGTAGCTATCAAGACCCTACAAGGTGAGTTAATTAGTCTGTTAGCTGCAGTGGCTGTTTTCAATGAATTTTAAAATTACCAAAGTGAACTCATTGTCTTGTTAGGCATCACTGCGTCCATCTTTGAGGAAACACTCGATATGTTACTGAACGCTTTGCTACGTCATAAAAAACATCGCATATATCGGTAGATGATGTAGCTTATATCTATAAATGATGTATCTTATATCTATAAATGATGTAGCTTATGTCTATAAATAATGTAGCTTATATTTATAGATGATGTAGCTTATATCTATAAATGATGTAGCTTATATCTATAGATGATGTAGCTTATATCTATAAATGATGTAGCTTATATCTATAGATGATGTAGCTTATATCTATAAATGATGTAGCTTATATCTATAAATGATGTAGCTTATATCTATAGATGATGTAGCTTATATCTATAAATGATGTAGCTTATATCTATAGATGATGTATCTTAGTTTAGAAAAACTGACCATGTTCACAGATCCGCTTTCTCACAACCTTGATCTGCTGGGCTTTGTCCAAGAGGCTTGCATCATGAGGGAGTTCCGACATCCCAATGTCCTAGGGCTTGTCGGACTGGCCGAGAAAGAACCTGGCGTGCCTTACGTCATACTTCCTTTCATGGAGAGAGGAGACCTTCTGACTTACATCCGTAACGCTTCTGTGGTAAGTAAAATAGGCACTGCTTACAGGCAGTGACAAGGCTGTTGGAAAAAATTACTGAAATATTTCAAAAAAGTTATATTTACTTTTATTTTGTATTTTTTAATGTGTTCTTTGAAACTCATTTTTGTAAAGTATAGAAATTCCGCAACATACCCTAACAATTTAATAGCCCAACAAACTAAACAGATGTATATTTAATATAGTGGATAATTCAAGATTTACTGGTTATATATTTATTAGATATGCTATTCCTTCTTTGAACCAATTTTGTTTGTGCTTTGGTTCCATTGTTACATTTCCCATTCATTAACAAACTTCATTACTGTGTAGAGCTTAAGTCTTCATGATGTCATCAAATTTGGAGCGGACATTGCAAGTGGTATGGCCTACCTCAGTGCCCTAAAGCTGGTCCATCGTGACCTTGCAGCCAGAAACTGTATGTAAGTAGACTTATTTCAACACATCTTGTCAGTAACTGTTTGTAAGTAGTTTTATTTTAACACCTCTAGTCTGAGACTGTATGCAAGTAGATTTATTTCAAAACATCTAGACAGCACCAGCTTTCTTAATAAAAATAAAGTTCGTTTCAAAAACACGCTTCATCCCCAAAGGCTCGAAGCGCGGTACAAAGTCAACAAAAAACAAATCTATAATTTACCACCTTTAAAACAAACGCAACACTACAAAAACTAATTACAAGCATACAATGTCAAAGTCTTTCAACCCATTTCAACCATGAACAACACAGCTAATATGCATTAAATGGAAAATATGGTAGGCAATCATCCCAGAAGGTGTTCTTGCTTTGTTCTGTCTGCCGTAGAAGGCATTTAGCCGAAAAATTCTTTAAAATGCTCAGTCTTTTTCTTTTTAAGCCTAAACTTATTTTGTTCCACAATTTATTTCTATCTTTTTTAGTTGATGCTTATCATGTAGGGTCAGTTCTCTCATTCATTTGTAGCTGTACCATCAGATTCACTTTCTCGCTCCTTTTAAAAAAAAAAAAAAAATACAACTAGCTATAGCCCGCGCAATAATGTTGACGGCAATGCGTGAACTTCCTGTCCTCCTAAAGTCACTTGACATAACATGATTTCAACTAATGCACTTTATAAGAAAGAATCCTAATTAGTGCCACACACACGTTTTGTGTGCGCCACTACTCAATTTTTTACATCCCTGAAATATTTTAATATTCTCTTGTCCCACCCACTTTTACAAAGTAGTTTATTCAATTATTTTTAAGTTTCCTTAAAGCAATATATTCAAAATTTTGATTTAGCACAGTTAGCGGGATTGTTTATTTTGCGCACTATTGAGCTCGGCAGTACCTTATACCTGCTTTCATAACATAGATAATTGTATTGATTGATTGTTTGATTTATTGATTCATCATAAAAATACTTTTAGAAATAGAAATCTTCTTTGTGTGATTAAGGAATGGCAACTAGCAGCATCTAAAACTACGTAGAATAGTCAAGCATGTGAACATGTAATAAATTCATTTGTATCAAGTAGCAGCTGTCAGACTTATAGATCTATCTGTTTTGTTACTTCTTCGACATTGTATCTTAGAGGCTTTACCAAATCCTTGTCTTAGGCTAGACGACGTACTTCGTGTTAAAGTCGCCGACTTTGGCCTGTGCCGTGATATCTATGAGAAGGGCTACTACACAAGTGACAACAAGAAGAAACTACCCATTCGGTGGATGGCGTTAGAGAGTATTGAGCACGGAGCCTACAGCACCAAGTCGGATGTCGTGAGTTTGATTTACGATTTGATTCCAATTTGGATTGAGTAATGTAAACCCAATGTTAGTTGTATGTTGTACTTAGGTTAACAAATTGGAATGTATCAAATTATAGTTTTTTAAATTCATCCTTTCCTTGTCTTTATAGTTAATGGCATTTTCAATGGGACATTTTAGCAGTGTTATTAACTATAACTCACTCGTGAAGAAAGGGGTTCTATCTATATTTAAAATGCAGTTGCAAATGTAAAATGTATTTATTCACTCTTTGAAATTGATATTATGAGTTTCAATACATAACGATATGATAGAGAAATCATGTTAAATATCAAATACCTCATGAATAAAGTATCATGCTTTTGTTTTAGTATGATAAATATTCCTTGTGTTGATATTTAATACACTAAATATAGATTGGCATTCTAATAATCCAGTGGTCCCTTGGTGTGGTGCTGTGGGAACTGCTGACCAGAGGCGTTGTACCCTACCCCGGAGTGGATGGCTGGGACATTATCAACTTCTTACGTCATCGACGTCTTGCCCCCCCACACTTCTGCCCTGATGCGCTGTAAGTAACAGGTTGTATATAGGAGTCAGTTTTATACACGTGTCGGTTAAATACATGGGTCGGGTGTATACAAATATACAGAGTCAGCTCATACTGGGGTCATTTTTATACATGGGTCATTTAAATATTTAACTGTCATATGGATCAGGTGTATACAGGGTCAGTTATAGCCATGGGTTACTTAAATACGTGGGTCAGATAAATAAATGGGTATAAAAAAGTATATACAGTGGTCAGTTTTTTTACAGTCTCGTGATGCTCTGCTAGAGGAGACTTGTAATAAGGGTCAGTTATATACAAGGGTCAGTTATACACAATGATCAGTTATATATAAGGGACAGTTTTAGATCTATGAACACTTACGTATTGATGAAAACCGGAATGGCGTTTTATAGTCTTTCATAGCACATATTCTTGAACCATTTTGAGACGTCATGCTCCGTCTTAACTGATGCAAGTAAAAAAATTCTAGACAGAGATGTATTGCGGGTGGCATCTCAGAAGCTTATAATGAGTGTACAACATGGAAATCGTTTACAAAAGTTAAATCTACCATGGACTGAAGTTGTTACGTGTGTAACAAATTGTGACTTTGCTTCATTGTTACACTCATAAAATGCACTCACTGATTTACTGGAGTATAGTTTGACTAATCATTGATTCAGAGCTAAATTCCAAAATTTGCAAATCTCCTTTTCCCCACTCACAACTACTCTATAATAAAGTAGGTAATAATAAATAATAAAAGAACCCCTATGACAGTAAGACCCTACCAATACGAAATCACCCTTTATACACGCCACTGAACTATGTCATAATTCTAATCTAATTTTCAACAATCCTCATAGCATGCAACCTACTGTAATTTATTAAAGTGATACAACACGCGTGTCGGTATAATTAAAGAACGAAGTGGCTATTCGGACCCGGGTCCGAGGAGTTAGAGGTTGGGATTAAAATTTTAAACAAATATACTATTGTTCGGTTGCAAGACAAAATTTGGTATCAAATGAAAGATAATTGAATGGACCATACGTTTGTAGACTTAACTCTTCATTGTAACTAAAATAAACGATCAGAAATGACATCCGAATAGCATTAAGTCTAAAGAGATCCGGGCCCATATAGCGGCGATGCCGTTTCGGTTCCATGTAGAAGCGATACACATATAGTTTCAAAAAAAACACTATTGCATGGGTGGATGGAATTGAATAAAATACAAGCGACATTTCAGTTTGTGTGACACAATAATCAGGTTTCTGAATTAGTACAACCGTTTTAAAATTTGGCGTTTGGGGCCTGGGGCCTTATTTTAAAATTATTTTTTTATAAGCGCGATATAAATATAATTTCAAAAGGAGCTGCTACATTGGCGGATCACAGTACACAAGGTTCTGGACTAAATTTATCAAATCCATGGTTCTCACGTGGACAGCTGTACGTGGCCTATTGACGCGTCGAAAAAACTTCTATTTTTTGTGTACGCACCAGATAGAAAAATTACTTTTAAAAAACGTATTTAAAACACAAACACTTTTTTTTCTTTGAGTGGCGTTGCAACGCATGCCGGGTTTTCACTAGTTTTAAAAATAAGATTTTGTTCACTCTGCAACCCCTTTACAATTTTTATTTTATTTCTGCTTTTGGGATAAGTAGTTGTGACTGGCCTTTCCAGGAATCATCTGTATGTCAGGAGAAATGAGCATGCCAAAGTGTCACGCAGAGCTTTATATAGCAGAAAGGCCGCCAAACAACGGAGGACGGAAATGCGTGAACTTTCCTCCTACTGAAGTTACTTTTACAAAGCATGCATTCACGTAACGCACTTTATAACAATCCCACTTAGTGTCCTCGGCCCCCCACCCCCCTCCCCCAGGTACGCCACAACACACTTTTATTTTCAAGCCCCTGAATTATATAAATAGTCAAATGTCCCGTTCCCCTTTTCAACGCAGCAGATTTCTTACAACATATTTAAATTGAGGATATTTCCGTGAATGAAAAGAAAATATGACACACCAAACGCACGTCTGGTATTGTTCATTAGACCGAAACAATTTGTGTAAATAAAACAATGTTATGTTAAGCTTTAATAAAGATTATACAAAATACAAGTGTAAACGTTTCGGCTAATGCCTTCTTTATTACAAAAAAAAAATATTAATATAAGAATAAATTAAACGTACACAATATATAAATACATTATATGCAATTCTTTAGAACCTTTACATTAGAAGCATAATGTGTTTTCTTGAAAATATCGAAACCTAAAAACTGTACAATTCATTGATAAAGCAATAAGTAAAAGACTATATATGTACAATTCTTGGATAAAGTAGTTAGTAAAAGACCTCATATATACAATTATTTATTAAAGTAGCTAGTAAAAGACTAGAAGGTACAATTCTTGGATTAAGTAGTTTCTTAAAGTTTTTTCGGATATGATTTTCAGTTTATTTATATGACTTTATTCAAAGAAATTAGTTACTATTAAAAGAATATTTAATTAGTTTTTAATGGAACCGAATATTAGCTCAAAAATATTATAAAAAATAAATTACAATAAGACCAAACTTTATATCAATGCTAAATATTCTAGTATTAAAAATGACAAAAGTCAATAACAAATTAATATTGAGTAGCTTTCGGAATTAAATTTAATAAACTAATCATAAGAGGGGTTGTTACAGAAGAACTCTTCACTCGACATTTTTATCATTTCAAAATACAAGGATTCATTTTGGCACATACCGGAAATTAGTTTTGCAACAAAATTGTAAAAGAAAAATGACTTTTTAAACAAATGTTACTCAATAGTAATGTCACTTTATAATAATTTTTAAAACTTCTAGGAACTATTAATCTATTTTATTTGTTAAAACGTCTCCATTAGTAAGTGGATTTTTTCGTAAAGGTGCTGATGCAACGCACCAGCTTACCGTCACAAAATAAAGCATTTAATTTTTAAACTGCTGTCTGGTTGTGTCGAGTGGGCTGTGACTGAATTATATTAGGATCGGGGCCGAATGGCTCAAAAAGCAGTTATTTGATTCTGGCATTTTTAATTTTTTTTTAATTTTATAAAGTAATTGCAAGCATGGACAAGCTAATTGGTTTTCCTTTTTTTTATTTTTATTCTTTGTATAATCTTCTTACTACGTGTTAAATCATTTTAGCAAACGGGGCTCAAGTGGCCCCAGTCTTGGAGTGCTACAATCAATATCTATGGACATTATAAATAGACAGCTATGTGTACCTAGTGGACTTTACCCAGTGCCTCATACGCCTTGACCCGACCATGCATTGTGCAAAGGAAAACCTAGTTTGCAAACATATTATAATTTTCAAAGTCATAATCACAATGGTGGATTTAGTAGAAGATCATATGAAACAATGTTTTGTGGTAAAAGATCTCAAGGAACGGCATAAAAATCATTGAAATTATATAAGAATACTATACAGATTTATTAACTTAAAAATAATAATAAACTGTTTTTACAATTGTATTAATAAAATCACAAGGGCTAGATTTAAAGTTAAATTTTTTGAAAGGCTGCTTCCCATGTGTCCTACTCTTTTCGTTTCAATATAGGTCTATTCCAGTAGTAACATACTTAGTTCTGCACTGAGCTTGTTATTTTAAGTCATTGCCGTGTCATCAACAGAAAACATCTCTCAAATTTCGCCCTTTGGTGTCTACCCCTTATTTTTAAAGTTTTTTTTTTCAACTTCGCTAATTTTTTTAAACCCAACATTTCCATTTAACTGGTTCAGAATAAAAACTAAGGAAATAGTATAGAATTGATCCAATACTAGTTTCAATATTTAATAATGATTAGTAATTGATAGTAAAATAAAAAGTATGATGTGCATCATTTGCGTCCAACGGCATGGCCCATCGCTATTTTGGAGGGAAAAGTGCCGGCAGGGCTGACAGCCCACCATCCTTCCTACGCCTCTGAATTTAGGAGTTAGATGAAATCATTTGGAATAAGAAAAATTTAGCACTAAGGGAAATTTGATTAAAAATTTAGAGTTAAAAATATCGTAGAAACACTTGTAAATTGATCAAAGTAAAAAACAAAAAAACTTTATAATCATATATTTTTTACACAATTTTCTTCTGTTAAGTGGAAGTCTTTTGCTGGTGCTCTCTCAGTTAATGTTTGTGATCATATGGACAACGTTGTGTTCTTTAGGTTACAACTTCACGACCCTTCTTCTTTTTACAGTTACAGCCTCATGATGCTCTGCTGGGCCAAAGACCCGAACAAGAGACCGAGCTTTAAAACGCTTCAAATGGAACTGTTGCTTTTGATTGGACAGAGCCCCCAGGACACGCCAGTGGCCGATTCGAAACGTGAATCAGCGGTCAATCTTTACGTCAAGATGCCATCTGACAGACTTGATCCAACAGAAGATTTTAGATCGAGCAAAGCCATCGCGGACGTCAAGGCTGAAGACAAAGACTCAAGTTCAGAAAACTTGGAAGAAGATGTTAAAACCAGAGAGCCGGTCTTGGAAAAGAAAACTTCCAATGTTGTCAAACCAATCCCGAAGATAAGAGTAACAATAGCCGGACTTAAAAAGAATCCCTTGCCGGAAGGCTCGGAACAACCTGCCTCTTCCGATACGAATAAAACCCACAGTGGCGGGCAAGACAGGTCAACGAAAACTTTCTCTGATATTCTGTCAGTGCCGACAATGAACGTGGTCAATAACGTCATGATTACCATACCAGCGTGCTACAACCACAGAGAAGTCAGCAAGAATTCTGCTGGCGTGTACATACAGCTGGTCGACAACTACGAGCCACCGCCAAAATTCTTCAGTCCATTTCATAAGGCTTCTAAACGCACCAGCAAGAAAGCAGTAGATAAGAGAACTGCCGGACATGCTTCACACACGACTGGGTCGGATACACACATAGATAAATCTCAAGAGGATTTACATGAATTCGTCAAAATGGGCAAAGATGGCGCTTATTACGAGCTAGAGTCCAAGGCGCAGAGGCTGAGTGCTATCTCCGACACTGGCAGCATGTCGTCTGCCACGATGCACACAGCCAGCTCGTTTGGGAGTCTGATGGACAATGCCAGTCCGGTGTCCTCAAACCGTGCGAGTAGCGGTGGCTCAAATTTATCCTTGACCCATGGGCAGACATCACGCGTCATGAGTCAGAACATGCAGGTGACGTACAAGAGGTCTCCCTTGGCCGATAATTCCCTCAGTGCGAGCTGTGACCTTAACCTCAGTTTAAATCATAAAGAAAATCCTCCTTAAAAAACGAAGTGATTTTTTCATGAAAGTATTCGTTTTAGAGACTAGGCTGGAAGTATTTGTTTTAGAGACTAAGCTCCTGAAAGTATTTGTGTTAGAGACTAAGCTCCTGAAAGTATTTGTTTTAGAGACTGGGCTCCTGAAAGTATTTGTTTTAGAGACTAAGCTCCTGGAAGTATTTGTTTTAGAGACTAAGCTCCTGAAAGTATTTGTTTTAGAGACTGGGCTCCTGAAAGTATTTGCTTTAGAGACTAAGCTCCTGGAAGTATTTGTTTTAGAGACTAAGTTCCTGAAAGTATTTGTTTTAGAGACTTAGCTCCTGAAAGTATTTGTGTTAGAGACTAAGCTCCTGAAAGTATTTGTTTTAGAGACTGGGCTCCTGAAAGTATTTGTTTTAGAGACTAAGCTCCTGGAAGTATTTGTTTTAGAGACTAAGCTCCTGAAAGTATTTGTTTTAGAGACTGGGCTCCTGAAAGTATTTGTTTTAGAGACTAAGCTCCTGGAAGTATTTGTTTTAGAGACTAAGTTCCTGAAAGTATTTGTTTTAGAGACTAAGCTCCTGAAAGTATTTGTGTTAGAGACTAAGCTCCTGAAAGTATTTGTTTTAGAGACCGCACTCATGAAAGTATTTTTTTAGAGACAAAGCTCCTGGAAGTATTTGTTTTAGAGACTAATCTCCTGGAAGTATTTGTTTTAGAGACTGGGCTCCTGAAAGTATTTGTTTTAGAGACTAAGCTCTTGGAAGTATTTGTTTTAGAGACTAAGCTCCTGAAAGTATTTGTTTTAGAGACTGGGCTCCTGAAAGTATTTGTTTTAGAGACTAAGCTCCTGGAAGTATTTGATTTAGAGACTAAGCTCCTGAAAGTATTTGTTTTAGAGACTGGGCTCCTGAAACTATTTGTTTTAGAGACTAAGCTCCTGAAATTATTTGTTTTAGAGACCGCACTCCTGAAAGTATTTTTTTAGAGACAAAGCTCCTGGAAGTATTTGTTTTAGAGACTAATCTCCTGGAAGTATTTGTTTTAGAGACTGGGCTCCTGAAAGTATTTGTTTTAGAGAATCCTACGATTACACTAATAAATTAATCTCTAATTTGTTAAATTTAAGTGATCATGATCTGTTACATGGTGAGGTGAATGTCTTGTAACAATGGAAATCTGAAAAAAGGGTCATTTTATTAATTTTTTTCTTCATGTTTATTTGTAAATCATTTATTTTAAATGCTTTAAACAGAAGACCGGTTAACTGAATTAATTGGTTAAATGAGTAACGGCCTTACAGAGCTGAATCGAAATTAAAATCCAATATAAAAGTTTATTTATAATGGTTGTCATTGGCAAAGATTTTGGAGTAGACTTTGACATTTTATTGGTTGCTCTTGTTAGTACAGGGACAAAGGTCGTTGTAAATTTGCCAGGCAACTAAGACAGCAGCTTCGTGATTCCTAGTTTGGTGTGCAGAGTAGATGGAAACGACATCACTCTGTGGGTTTGTTGATGAGGTTACAACACATTTATATCTATTAAAAATATAATAAATGTTTGGTTCTATTAAGCACAATATTAGAAATAAAGGTCATGCTTTTTTTTTACAAATATCTCTTATTAATTCAATATTTTTGTTGTAACAACGTTGGGCTTGACTGGCGTTTTAATGTAAACAAGAAAATTAAATGTCGTAAAATAAATTATCCTCGTTTGTTTTTTTTTCTAATTGGGTAATTATGAATATTATCAAACATATAAAGCTACAATAATTAATTTCAGTTAGTTATTCTCGTAATTTAAGAATAAAATTTGATATAGGTAAACCATATATCGTTGCTAATTATACTTTTATTGTTACCTTGAGTGGATAGGCTTCGGTAACCCTGGATTTCGAATCACTGGAAGGCAACTCATCATTGAGAAGACAAACTCTCTAATCAAACACGTAGATCGATTCCCGTAGGCGGTATGATAATTGACACAATGTTGCAACGTGGAACGCATAAAGAACAAAGTGAAACACGCAACAAAAAACTGCGGTTATTTACTGCACCCTGGTCTATTTTCAGTTGTCTCGGCTAAGTCTTGCTATTGGATCAAATAGGCAAGGACTAGAGTGCAAGGACTAGAGTATAAGGCCGAGTTGTGGGTGGCCGAGTGGTCTTAACTGGTCTTGAGTTCAATTCCAGCCAAAGCCCAGTCAAGCAAAAACATCACCAGCACACCGGGTAGATGGGACTCGTTAAACTTGGATAGCAACTTATCTAAGAGAAGGAAACTCTGAAATCAAACCCGATGGATTCCCGAAAGGCGGATAGCATTGGTACAATGAAACATTCCGACAACTCCTGCGACGCCACTGGTGCCAAGCTGTGTCATCCAAATGATGTTCCGTTGGGACACCCAGCGGTGTGGACAGAGGCAATTTGCTGTTGGGAGCCAGCTTATAATCCTTGTGACGGACGGATGCAAGCAAAAAAGAAAAGAGAGTGAGGCTCCCGACTTGAGCTTTGGGCTTTGGAATGTTAAGAACATTTGTGCAATCGAGTACTGGATTGGCTGTGGGCCAGCATTGTGTCAGAATCATGACTGCAACCTTTCAAACTCAGGCAGAGCTGGAGAAGAAAGAACTAAGTCAAGGTTTTATCAAGAAATATGTTCAAACGCGGAATGGCGAGTATGTAAAACTTGAATGGCTTCTCTATTCACCATACCAAGGTTGTTTGTATTGTTTTGGCGTGTCGTCTCTTGTCCAAAAAAGTATTTCCATATCAGGAATTAAGTACTGGAAACATAACAATCTAATTGTAGGACATGCAAATAGAGTAGTGCATCGCAAGGACATGACTTCATATTTTCTACGACTGAAAGATGCTAGGTGTTTAAGTCTTGTATTAATCAAAGACCATAGGTTGAAACAGAAGCACTGGCATCAAGTTCTGACTCGTGGGGTTTATGTCGTTCTCTTTCTTGTCTCCAGGAGTTTGGGTCAAACTATTGGGTCAGCAAACGATGGAAATTGTCTAGGTATTTTAGAGCTGCTGAATGAATTTAACTCTTTGTTGGAAGAGTATCTCAAACTGCTTGGAAATGCTGGAAAGGGTAATAAATAATATCTGTCGGCAAATATTTGAGAAAAATTTATTGATCTAATGGGGTTGCATGCCCTTTGTGCTATTCTGGAAAAAAATTAAAGAGTCAAAGTATTATTCAATAAGTTATGATTCCACTTCAGACATTTCACACATTGATCAACTGACATTAACGGTCCGGGACATTCGAGGATGTAAGTCTGTGGAACGTTTTATCAAGTTAATTTCCATATTTTCCCATGGAGCAATGGATCTAACAGACACTGTTGTGTATCAAAGGATCTAGCAGGCAATTTTTTGGATGTCATGAATAAGAACAAAATTCCGCCTTCAATCTGCCGTGGTCAATCGTATGACTAAGCTTCGAATTTATATGTCTGGACGCTACACTGGATTGCAACCACGAGTTTTCCGTGTATGTCCCTTGTGCTGGACACAGCCTGAACTCAGTGGGCTTAAAAGCAGCAGAGTGTTGTCTACAAGTTGGAAAATTCTTGGACTTTGTTCAGCGCCTATATACCCTTTTCTCAGCTTCAAAACATCGATGGAATGTTCTGGTATCTTCTGGTATCTTCCTTAGGAAAATCTCTCGTTGTCGTAAAGCATCTATCTGACACAGGATGGTCGGCACTTTTTGATGCCATCAACGTTTCGAAAAGAATACAAGATGCTCTGGACTCTGTATCAGCTGACCCTGGACTCTGTATCAGCTGACTCTGGACTCTGTATCAGCTGACACTGATCAGAAAAAGAAAAAACGAGGCGTGAGGCAGAAAAACTACGTAATCAAATGGAGAACCTGATAATTTATCATCATCTGGGATGAATTCTAATGTATTTCTGATGTTTTAAAACCATTATTGCATTTTTTGTATGAATAAGTTGAATTAACCTTTTTTTCACTTTATTGAATGTTTATTCTTATTTTACATTTTTATTCCTCTTGGTGAATTGGTTTGGGAGCAACAACTGCGCCCCCCCCCCCACTGTTTGAGCATGGGGCGAGTGCCCCACTTCGCCCCCCTTTCTAACAACCCTGGTGTGTTTTGTTGCTGGGGGCCCCAGTGCATTGCTGTGCCCAGGGCCCCCTATGTTCTTAAGACGGCCCTTACCCCCACCGTCCAGGAAGTCCTTCGGTCGGGGCAAAAGCTGGGACGAAACGGTCGCCTGGGAGCGGCTTTCTCAGGGCCGCGTAGTTTTAGTCATCGGAATGGGAATTGCCCGCCATCCAGTCCTCATATCCATTAACGGCTACAAGTAATCATGTTATTGCGTTACTCCCGTTGGGTTAGGAGTCATGCGTCAGCCGGGGTTTTTGGCATCGGGAGAGGAGACCTACCTACTGGTCCGGCACGCCACGAAGAGGCAAACCCCATGTGACACCACCGAGTCGCCCCGTCGCTGCGGGTCCCTGACTTAGAGGCGTTCAGTCAGACCCCCCCCCCCAAGCCAATGCTACTAAGCATGTCAAAAATTGATAAGGTCATCTTCGCGTGCGAAGGACACCTACTGGCCCGGCACGCCACGAAGAGGCAAACCCCATGTGGCACCACCGAGTCGCCCCGTCGCTGCGGGTCCCTGACTTAGAGGCGTTCAGTCAGACCCCCCCCCCCCAAGCCAATGCTACTAAGCATGTCAAAAATTGATAAGGTCATCTTCGCGTGCGAAGGACGAACAATAACATTTGTTACCGAATACAGATTATCAAGATTATTAGATTCCAGCAGTGGCGTCTACATAGTAGTGGGGAAGGGGTGGCAATAAAATCCTCTTCTGAATTGTTTTGAATATCTCCCAGTAACAAAAGTAATATGGGCAAGAAAACCACAACAACAACAACAACTTTATTTTCTTAATGCGTTTTTAGGGGGCGGGGGAATTTAAAAAGTCTAATTTATTTCTCTTGGAACTGAACTTCATTCAATAAGAAAAGAATGACACAGGCATGGTATGACCTATGAGCCATCTGTTAGGGACTTGAATGCATGGTGTGATTGCGTGTTGGCTTGAGATTATGTGTGTTGTTTTATCTGTTATTTTTAGTATCTTGTGACGTATTGTGTGGAAAGGGATATGACGTAGTAGTATTGTAGATGGTTGTGGAGTGTTGTTCTTTGAAGTACAGAAATGGCAGTTGAGGAATAAGTTGATGAATAAACATATTTTATCTAAGAATTATAGTT